CAACATCTGGCGAATGCGCAGCAGCAGGCGCTACAGGAGCAAAGCCAAAGTTTCGAACAACAACAAGAGGCCAAACACTGGGACATGTGGCAACACATGATCTGCAAGAGCTTCACGGAGTGAGGGCGGGTGGTTTTCAACATGTTGTTATCGCCTGAGCGCCGCGCAAATGTGTTGCAAAAGTTTGCAAGTGTTTCACGGATTGCGGGCGGGTCGTTTTCAACATGTGGCTCCCGCCTTGGCGCCGCGCCGCGCACAATGTTTTTTTGTTAAAACAGTTGCAAGTTCCTCACGGATTGAAGGCGGTTCGTTTTCACAATGTGGTTCTCGCCTTAGCGCCGCGCACATTCGCCTCAAACATCTGCAAGAGCTTCACGGGTTGAGGTCGGGTCGTTTTCAAAAGGTGGTTCTCGCCGAAGCACCGTGCGCATTCACTTTAAACACTTGTAAGAGTTTCACGGGTTGATGGCGGGTCGTTTCCAAAACATGGCTCTCGCCTTAGCGCCGCGCGCGTTCGTTTTACACATTTGCAACCGTTTCATTGGTTCTCATGTTTAGCGTTATCCGACCAGAAATGGTATTTTGAAACGGTTCAGGATTGTCAGGGCGCAACAGTTACCTTGATTCGTGGTGTTGAAGTCCCAGGAGTCGCTTCCTGGCACGACTCAGGATCGTCAGGACGTACCAGTCAGGTTCACTCGTGCCGTTGAAGTCCAGAAAATGATATTTTGGCATGCTTCAAGATGTTCACACGGTTGCCCCCCCCCAACAGGGCAATTTTTTTAGTGGGGATGACCCCTTGTATGAGGCTTGTGAAGAGGGACCTTGGAGGGAGGGTGTGTTTCAACATCGTTGGTGAGTCTTGGGTTTGCACTAGTCCTCCCCCTCCTCCTCCTCCTCCGCCTCCTCCTCCTCCTCCTCCCCCTCCTCCTCCTCCCCCTCCTCCTGCTCCTCCCTCCTCCTCCTCCTCCTCCTCCTCCTTCCCTCCTCCTCCTCCTCCCTCCTCCCCTCCTCCCTCCTCCTCCTCCTCCTCCTCCTCCTCCTCCTCCTCCTCCTCCTCCTCCTCCTCCTCCTCCTCTCCTCCTCCGTGGCTCCAGCCGCGCCCTGGGGCAGCCGCCGCCGCGCGGGCGCGCGCGCGCGCGACGCCCCCGGCCGCCGCGGGCGGCCCTCGGCCCCGCATGGGCCCCCCGCCCGCGCGCGCGCCCCGCCTCGGCCCCCGCGCCGCGCGGCCCCGCCCCGGGGCCCGGCGCCCGGCGGGCGCCCTGCCTCGCTGCCGGCGCGGCCCCGCGCGGCCGCCCGGGGCGGTGGGCCGCCGAGGGCGGCGGGCCGGCCCGGCGCGGTGGCCGAGGGCGACGGGCGGACGTCGAGGGCGGTGCGGTGGGCTAAGTAGATGTCCTCAGAGGCCTCTCGGCGGCGAGCGAGGGGGGGGGAGGGAGAAGGAGAAGGCCTGCTCAGGAGGCGGCGGGGCTTCTCGGAAGCCCTCCGCGCCTTCCGAGAAGTTTTTGGTGTCTTCGGGGAAGGCTTAGAAAACTTCTCAGAAGGCCGGAGGACTTCCGAGCCTTCTGAGACGCCCCGCCCCTTCTCACTTCCCCCCCTCGCTCGCCGCCAAGCCTCGTCAGACATCATCGGCATGCTGTTCAGAATCGCAGCGCTCGATGGTTCGGGCACTTGTCAGGGCGTTCAACATCGACGGATTCTGGGTCGGTGGCGGCGCTCAACGTTGAACGCCAGCGGCAGGGTCGCCGCCGGTCGACACGACGCGAACCTACCGTGGGCAAGAGTGACCTTTGGTGCGTGACTTTCGGGGGTGCGCGGGGGGGGGGTCGCAACCGAGAGCGAAAGCCGCTGCTACAAGATCCGTCAAAAATAAATGAAAACGCTGTTCAGATTCGAAGCTCTCGATGGTTCGGGCACTTGTCAGAAAGCGCGTTCTTCAATGCTGTGAGGGTGCTGCCGGATTTCGGACACCCCTGCGTCTGGGCCGACTGCCTCATGCCAGCATTGAAGTAGCGCCCACCACGCAAGCACCGAGAATAAAAGCCGTCAAATCATTGTTCACGAGTTTTGTAGGAGTGGCTTTCCGCGGGAGTGACCTTTGGAGCGGCAGCAAGTCATGGGAGCCTTGTGTGCCCTCTTACTTCCGTTGTTGGCGTCGGTTGGCGTCCAAACTAGCGCCTGGGAGTCGAGGAGGCAACGCCGATTTAGCGTCGGCTAGCGTCGATTTAGCATCGAATATCGTCGATTTAGCGTCGATTGGCGTCGATCCACAAGAGCCGACAAGATGTTATGAGAGGCTCCCATGAGTTGTCACGAATTTTGGTGCGGACACACCCGACCACTCGCAGAGAGGGGTGGGTGGAGGGGGGGAGGGCTTCTCAGAAACACCCCTGCTTCTTAAGAGGCGCGGGCCTTGTCTATAGATGTAAGGCCGGCGCCTTCGACGAAGCCTCGTCCTCCCTCCACCCCATTGTGCGCTTTGGTGCGGGCACACTTCGAGTAGGAGATCGACTACATAGTTGATGTACCCCCAAATTGGTTTTCCCGTCAAGTCTGCCAGAAATGCGAATAATTTGCGTTGGCTCAGGATTAAGAGCCAGTTTTGGGGAAAAGGTCCAGACCTCCGGGGACCCCGCATTGAGAAACCCATGGCGCCAGATGTCGGGGTACGTAAGAGTGACCTTTCGCAAGGGTGGCCTCTGGTGCGGGCACACTGGGGTCCCCAGATGGCCGAATGTGATGTAACGGCAGCATCCTGCGCGCTCGGTTACGACGACGACGACGACGACGACGACGACGACGACGACGACGACGACGACGACGACGGCGACGGCGGCGGCGGCAGCGACGACGACGACGACGACGACGACGACGACGACGACGACGGCGGCAGCGACGACGACGACGACGACGACGACGACGACGACGACGACGACGACGACGACGACGACGACGACGGCGGCGGCGGCGGCGGCGGCGTCGGCGGCGGCAACGGCGGCGACGACGGCGGCGGCGGCGGCTAGCGTTTGGCCTCCCCGCGGCTCCCGAAAGGCGCGCCTGCCAAAGGTCGCTCTTGTCATGGGCCCACCCTCTTGGCGTGCACGCCCCGAGGCGGCGGGCGGGCGCCGGGGCGCCGAGGGCGGGCAGGGCGGCGCGCCCGCCGCAGGCGCTGGGCGGCGGGCGCCCGGCCTGCCAGACCTAAGTCGGGCCTGTCCCCCTACCGGGGGATTTTCGATGAAAAATTTCAAAAAATACCCCAAAAATATTCCAAACATAAGCAGAAAATAGTCAGGGAGTTATTCTTTGAGTATTTTTTGACCTTTTTGGAATATGTTTGGGGTATTTTTTTGTTTTTCGTAGAAAATCCCCCTGCAGGGGGACACGCCCGACTTAATGCCAGACCCCGCCCTGTCGAACCGCGCCTTCGTGCGCGCGTGCAAGGCGTACAACCTCGAGCGGGTCGCCGCCTTCGACCGGCGAATCGCGGGGCTGGTGGCCCTGCTCGGCGGGGGCGGCGAGGCGGGAGAGGGCAGGCGCAAGAGCGGCCGTGGGGTGCGCACCGAGCTGGACAGCGCGCTGAACCAGGGCCTCCGGTGCGGCGTCATGCGCCCGGGCGCGTTCAGCGACCCCGATGCCCTCATGGACTACGCGGCGCGCCGCTTCCGCCGCAGGGCGATGGCGCTGGTGGACGTGCTGCTGCCCCACGTGTACACGCGGAGCTGCGTGGAGCGCTGCCGCGACGTGCTGGGGGGCCTGCTGCGCGCCCGGTCGCGCCTGCGGGTGGCCTCGCTGGGCGGCGGGCCCGGGTGCGACTTCGCGGCCAGCCTCCACGTCGCTGGCGCGGCGCCCGCCGCCCTAGGCCTCGGCGTGGCGCCGGCGGCGGTGACCTGCACGGTCCTCGACTTCGAGCCGGCCTGGGAGAGCTGCGTGCGCGCGGTCGACGGCTCCCTGAGGGGCGCGGGCTCCCGCGTGGGCCTGGAGCCGTGCGACCTGACGCAGCCCTTCGAGGGAGGCGTCAACGCGCGGCTGCGGGAGGCCGTGCTGGAGGCGCACCTGGTCACCTTCTGCTACGTCCTGCACGAGATTGCCGCGGCGCTGCTGCGCGAGGGGGGTTCGCCGGCGGCCGCCCTGCTCGGGGGCGCCGTCCCGGGCGTGCTGGCGCACGCGGCGCCGGGCGCGGTGGTCGGCAACGCGCGAGAGTGGCTGGCCGTTCGCCAGGGTGACCTTCGGTGCGGGCACTCCGTGTCCCCAGACGGCTGGCTGCGATGCGATACTACATACTACCTCAAGCTGGCTGCGACATGTTCTTAGAACATTTCTGGCTGGGACTGTCTTGTTTTAACATCTCGGGCTTATGTTCTGAGAACATCGTTTTTGTTATTAGAACGTTACTAGGTTCTAAGAACATTTCGTGGTATGACTATGGGAATGCCGGGACGGTCGGTCCCTGCTCAAACTACAAGACTCGTCAAACATAGATTGGCGGTTTGTGTTTTCGGTGCTTGCGTGGTGGGCGCTACTTCAATGCTGGCATGAGGCAGCCGGCCCAGACGCAGGGGTGTCCGAAATCTGGCAGCACCCTCACAGCATTGAAGAACGCGTTTTCTGACAAGTGCCCGAACCATCGAGCGCTTCGACTCTGAACAGCGTTTCAATGTATTTTTGACGAGGCTTGTAGCAGCGGCTTTCGCCCTCGGTTGTGATCCCCCCCGCGCACCCCCGAAAGTCGCGCACCGAAGGTCACTCTTGCACACGGTAGGTTCGCGTCGTGTCGACCGGCGGCGACCCCGCCGCCGGCGTTCAGCGTTGAGCGCCGCGAACCAGAATCCGCCGATGTTGAACGATTTGACGTTTCGGAAACGGCCGATCGTTCAGGGTCCTACGATCCCCACAGTGTGAGAAGCCCGCCGAAGTCGGCACGACACGGAGCCGCCGTGGCCGAGGTGGTGGTGGCATTGGACGCCAGCGGATTTCGGGGGCAACGAGAGGGGGGGACGGAGGATAGCCTCCAGGGGTAGGCATCGATCCCCAGTCGCCCAATCATCGCCGATAGAGGCATGATAGCCCCACCCCGCCCAGGAACACGCGGATTTGCTCTCGGGGCCGATCTATCGGCGATGCATCGCCGATTCCAAGTCGACGTTCCCCCTTACAATCGAAACCTGTGGTAAGGATAGGCAACCTTCCCGAAGGTACCGTTTCACCCTTGCTTCTTCGGTTCAACCTTGACTACTTTCGACGGCCAACTCCGCTCGAAAAGCTTCGACATGCGCGTCCAAGGGGCTTGCATCCTTACCGCGCATCCTTACTACGGCTGGACCGAGATATAAGATCGAGGTCGGCTCAGTTGGATGGTCTTCATATTCAGTTGGATGGTCTTGTGCATCCTGGGGAGGAGTACCCCCTCGAATGTTCTTGAATTCGGTTGGCGTAGGGCCTCACGTTCTTGGAGGATGCCCTTCCGTCCCGGGTCCGACCGTGTTTCGGCGGCAAGCGAGGGGGGGAAGTGAGAAGGAGAAGACCTCAGAAGATTCGGAAGTCCCCTGGCCTTCGGAGAAGTTGCCCAAGCCTGCCCCGAAGACAGACAACAACCTCTCGGAAGGCGCGAGGGCTTCTGAGAAGTCCCGCCGCCTTCTGAAGAGGCCTTCTCCTTCTCCTTCTCCTTTTCCCCCCCCTCGCCAGCCGCCGAGAAAAAGAAAGAGCGTCTTTGCATGCTCACCGTGGGGCCGCCCGCCCGGCCCTCGTCCCAGGACCCCACGGCCGCTGCCAGGGGCGCGCGCAGCACACGAACCTCGCCGCCCCGCTTGAGCACCTATATATTCAGGAGGGAAAGAAACACACAGACACAATTAATCGTCGACTCCCAGGAAAATATGCAAAAATATGGGAAGTGGTGGGGAAGACAAAAACCCAGAAAATATGTGAAAATATTGGGAATATTGTTATTTGTGTGTATTTATTTGTGTGTCCCAGTTCCCCTTCATATATCTCCTTCGCCTCCGCGCCACGAGACAGCTCAACGCGCGAGTGCCGCACAACGCCGGCGGGGAAGGCAGACACGTGCAGGCGGGAATGTCGACTCTGCCGTTCCGCGTCGGGCATGTCCCTCTGCAGGAGGAACCCTGCAGAATAGTCAAGAACAGAAGAAAAAAAAAACTGTCTGGGGACGAGCTTGCGATTGTTTCTGGCTCTTGTCGAATCTGTTGGTATATCTTTCGTCCAAAATCCGCCTGTGTGACAGTACATGGACATTATCTTCGAACCCAGTGGCCCAAGATGCCCCCCAGACCCCCCGAATTCAACATTGATGGCGTGGCGACGGGGGGGGGGGCGTGAGTGGTCAGAAATCTTCGAACCCCAAAGCACCGCCGTTACTGAGATCAGCTTTGATGTCGGGGGCGCGGGGGTGATTTAGAATCTCCCCTCGAATGTGTAAGGAGGAGGAGGAGGAGGAGGAGGAGGAGGAGGAGGAGGAGGAGGAGGAGGAGGAGGAGGGAGGAGGAGGGAGGCGGAGAGAGGAGGAGGGGGGAGGGAAGAGGAGGGAGGAGGAGGAAGAGGATGGAGTAGGCAGAGGAGGAGGAGGAGGAGGAGGGGGGAGGAGGAGGAGGAGGGGGGCGGAGGAGGAGGAGGAGGAGGAGGAGGAGGAGGAGGAGGAGGAGGAGGAGGAGGACGTGCCCGACCTGAGTCTGCCGCTGCCCCTTCCAGGGCGGCTGTGGCCCGCCCTCGTGCGCACCGCCGAGGCCGCGGCGCCCGGGGGCTGGGACGGGTGGGCGCTGCGCCGGGGCGCGCACCAGCACTTCCCCGGCGTCGCGCGCGAGGGGGCTGCAGGGCGAGGGTCGGTCGGGGGCGGAAGAGAGGGGGGTGCTGACTAGGGGGGGGGGGATCTCAGGGCGGGGGCCATGCTATTTCCCCAGATTTCATGGCGCCCCTTCTTGTTTCATTACGTCCCTGGCCCCCCCGCTGGGCCGCGCACATGCCGCCGGTCATGATTTGCACCCCCCCCCCCTCTTGGACACCCCCCTCTTGGCCGCTCCCGATGCAGGGCGAGGGTCAGGAGGGAAAAAACACACACAGACACAATTCATCGCCGACTCCCCAGGAAATATGGGAAACTATGGGAAGTGGGGGGGAAGACAAAAGCCCAGAGAATATGGGACAATATGGGGAATCCTGCTATTTGTGTGCATTTATTTGTGTGTGTCCCAGGGCCCCTTCAGAGAGGGGGCCAGGAGCTCTGTTGTTCCCATCGTACTCAAGGACCACATCCCAGAGATATAAAAACCAACAATAAAGAATCCAAGCTCCCAGGGAAGTGCCGAGATAACGCCGACACGAGACGCTGGGAAAGTGTCGAACGAGCATCGCCTCAAAGGACTAACACGTGAAAACTCTCCAGTTTCGGTATTGTCTTGGCGCTCAATATTCGCTCTTGCGATCAAGGCTAAAGTAGGCCGGAACAGCAGAAGCCAGGAGGCAACGACAGGGGGGGATAGGCTCAGGGAAGGGGGCGTCACCACCCACCAAATCGCCTGAACCTAACCCGAAGGCCTCAGTTTGCCCTCCGTTTCCACTGGGGGAGGGGGGCCGGGGGCAGGCGCAGGGGGGGGGGGGGCCGCATCGACCCCGCATCGACGCACCAGCACTTCTCCAGCGTCGCACACGAGGGGGCGAGAGAGAGGGCCAGGGGCGGCGACAGAAGGCTATACACTCTAGGCGATGCTTAAGAAAACCCAAGTTTTCGACCAGAGTCTCGATTATTCTTAATGTTTCAATGAAAATCCTAACATTTTGATAGAAATGTTGGGTTTGTATTCAACGTCTGAGACTCTGAGTTTCTTAACCCATGATTTCTTGAGCATCTCGCAGGGTGTAGGCTCAGGGGGGTGGGGGGCGGGCACCGACCCCCAAATCGCCCAATGCTCATCGTTAGGGGTCGATGGCCCTACACCGCCCAGGAACGTGCGGATTCGCTGTCGGGGGCCAATCACCGATATGTCGGCGATATGTCGCCGATTCCAGGTCGAGGCTCCCCTCCCCCTGCGCCAATCCCCCCCCCCAAACGTTGATCCTACCAGAGGCGCGCCCACTCAGCCTTCTATCACGGGGTCCGTTTTGAAGTCCGCAGGGCCCGAACAGGGTTCGGATGCCCGAGAGTGTGTTTTTGTTACCCTGTGGGCCAAAAGTGGCGATCTGGCCGCCCCCTTCCCTCCCCCCTCCCCTCCATGGCGTGACGCCCCCCGCCCCCCACCCAATGCGCCCCTGGCCCTGCCGCAGTGCGTCTGGCACCACATTCTGTCGTGCTGGACCCACACGGCGGGTGGGGGGGGGGGGCATAACGTCATGCCCCCCCCCCCCCCCTCCCCCCAGTGGAGCCCCCAAAGTGTTCAATTTGACGATGCGTGTTTCTTACTATTCTAAACGCAAATCTATGGCGACACAGACGATGATGATCATATGGTACGATATCTCCCATGCGCGTTGAACACACACACACACACACACACACCGAGAGGAGCAGCAACGTAAGCCTGCTTGTGGCAGGTTCCTAAAATATATTCCTTTTCGCAGAATACAGAAATATTCCCTTTGTGGTGGATGACACATTAATCCGTTTGTGACATACAACACAGTGGTTCCCTGAGTGGCGACTTGCAGACATGTTGCTGTTGTACCCGATTACAACAATGCTACCTGTGTAGCAGATTACATATATATTTTTTTACGGGGGATTGCGGGTCGATTCCGTACGGCGCAGATTACACATATATTTCTTTCGTCGGAGAACGCGTAAGGATCTTCTCGTCGGAGAATACGCGGGAATCCTTTTTGTGGCAGGTTGCCATCGGATTCTTCTTGTGTGGGGTTATAGTATAATTTCCTTGGCGGTCTTACAATTGGATTCTTTCCGCGATGGCTCACGATTAGATCCCTTGCCTGGCGGCCTACACAGATTTTGTTTTCTGGCGGCCTCGAAAGTTAATTTCTTCCGTGGCGGGCCACAGCCATACTTGTTTCCGATAGCGGCGTTGCATTTTGATTCCGTTTTGGGTGGATTGCATTTTGATGTCGTTTGTGGCGGGTTGTAGAATGATGTTCTTGTGGCGGCCTGCAAATCGATGTCCTCTTGCGGCGGCCTCATATATGTATACATTTATACACATACACCAGTTCTGCTGGCCCACAGACAGGCTATGTTTTAAATGTCGGCGTTGCACATGCGTTCTGTAGCGGAGGATCGCACAATCAGTTCCTTGTGCGGCGGGTTTGCCAAGGATTCCTTCGGTGGCGAGCTTACAAGAGAGTCCGTGTTGCTTGCACTTCGCTTCCCTGCGCGACAGCCTTGCAATTCAATTCCTTACGTGGTGGTTCACAAAGAAATATGCTTTGCGGCGGCCTCACATGTTGACTCATCCTGTGGAACACTACAGCATTCCCAATGTTGGCTTCACTTATATATTTCCATTGCGGCGGCCGCACGACTTGATTGACCCTGTGGCGTATTACAAGTTTTGTTTTGCTCCGGCGGCGGCTTGTAAACAGATTTCTTCGCATGGCGGCCTCAAACACATGTTTATGTTGCGGTCCGAGTCTGTTTCCCAGAGTTTCGCCCCCCTCCCCCCAGCAACGTCTCCCTTCTCCTCTTACCTTCATCGTTCTTCGCCAAATCGTTATATTCCTCGTGAGTTGCACATTGATCCTTTGGCGGGTCACACATGGATTCAATTTTCGATGGCCTTCCAAGTTGATTCATTCCCTGGCGGATTGCGAGAGGATCCTTTTTTGTGGCTGGTTGCACATTGATTCCCGTTGTGGCGGATTTCAGACTGATGTTTCTTGCGGCGGATTGAAATGCTTGATGTCTTTTGTTTTGGATACCATCTGATCTTTTTCTGTGGCGGATTGCAAATCCATTGTTTTGGCGACGGATCACAATGAATTCCCGTTGTAGCGGAGTGCGCATGCATTTATTTGTCTTCAAGTTCCAAATGTGTTCTTGTTGTTGTGGATTGCACGTTGT